TTAGAAAGATGCAACTTAAATTGGCCCCCTTACCCCCGAGTTCCTCGCGCTAATGAATACTCGTTGAATTCCGACTTACGTGGATCTCCGTGGCGTAATTACCAGGGGTGGTCTTTGTCGTTTCTCGACGGTTTGGCCCGAGGAAACGAAAAATTGGCTCGATGAGAGGAAACAAGAACGCGTACCCTCGGATGGATTTTCCTTCCTCCATTTACCGTTCCGTATTTCCTCGTTAGTCCCGCCGTTCATCCGGTTCCTTCGTTTTATTTCCTCCTCCTGGAACGAAAAGGAACGCGAGTTTTACGGATGTATTTCCATTCCTCTGGTCGTTTTGCCGCATCCGCGGAAGCGGAGTTCGGGTCTGGCCATTTTTTCCGACGAAAACAGCCAGACGGGGAGACGGCAAAATCGGGAAAGCGGCGGGGAAAGGGAGGTTCGATTCGTTTTGCCGTTTTACCGACTCGCTGCCTTCTCGAGCAAACGGTTCCGGAATGGAGGAAGCGACGTTCGACCCTTCCATTTCGCTTTCCCGGCGAACATGGCCAGTCTTAACGTTCCCCTCGTCCCCTCGTTTCTCCTTAACCGTACAAAGGTATATTTCTTTCCTTCGATTCCAAGGCGGACGAGTACCATTTTTTCTCGCCGCCGAATTCCAATTACTTCATTTTCATCCTCCTTCTTCATCCCCGGAGAGGTCCAAGTCGCTCTCGGTGCTTCGTGCAGATTTACTTAAAGCGCTGAAATATTGCCAGGTGGCGGATATCGGGCTCGAACTACCGAAATGGGTTCCATTCCATTCCGGCAGCTGACTCCGGATTAACCGCCCGAGAGGGTTCTTCGGCCAGCCGAACGTCTGCAGGAGCGAGAGAGAGGGTAGTCCCCGAAACGTCGGAGAGCTCGGGGAGCTTCGTTGCCAGGGGAGGCCGTCGCGTACCCAGATATTGCTTCCTTCGAGTTGCAACTTCTAGCCCATAATTGCATGGAATCGCCGATGCTCGTATTCCATCCGGGAGGCGATCTGGATTCGAAGTGTCGAGACCATCGGATTGAGGATAAATTAACTCAAGTATAACTAAAGCGGTACTCCGCTTGTCTCCGTCGGGCTGTGGAGTAGCTACGCGGTATGGAATAAATGCATCGCGTAAAGCACGTATCCAGCGGACGTACAGCGAATAGCGATAGTAATGGAATAAGAACGTATCACTTAATTACATTGATTAAGGTACGTCCCTCTCGCCTACGCGTCGTGCCACTTTTTTAGGTTTACTCCCGCCAGGTTACGGGGCGATCGAAAGTATATCGGATACATCGATGTTATACAGGGTCGAACGAGGTCTCGCCCGGCGGTTAATCTCCCGGATGCACCGTCGGTGCATTTTAAACGGCGCATCCCCGTTTCGCCCCTCTTTCAGGGAGGTTCGGCTCGGGCGTTGCTCCTCTCGGGTCTGAAAGTTCTCGGAAGTCTCGGAGAGGGGAAGAAGTAACCGGAGAATGAAATCGCCCGTAGTCCGACATTTTGCCCCCCTCTCGGGGACGGAAAGTTTCGACGCGACCTTCGCGCACTGCCGGCATTCCGAGAGGAACGGTCCCGCCAAGGGGCTACGGGCCCGAGGGGGGAGGGGAGAGAGAGGACAGTCTTGTCGTGATTTTGCGCCTTTAATATCCAGTTTAAATATTCATAAGGAGAAGCGAAGGGCGGAGAGAGCGGGCGAGGGCTCGTCGACGACGTCCCTCCTCGGGCCGAGGGCGAGTCGACGGGGTAGCCCGCTCCTTAAAAATGAATTCCTCCCTCCGTTTACGGATACGCGGGCGGACACATCCCGAGGGCTTCGGCCCCCCTTTTTACGATCGAGCCGAGTGCACGGCAAAACGTGATGAATTAATGACCTCCGAACGAAATCCAAGGAGGGCAAACGCGGAGGGGGAGGACAAAGCCTACTTTGCATAAAAGCGAGAGGTGTCTCGCTCGTGATTTCCCCCGAAAATGGCTATCCCCCTAAATTAGCGGATCAAAGACCGCGAGTCCCGCGCTCGCCGAGATGCACGAGGCGTCGCGCAAAGTAAAGGCTCGAGAAAAGAAGACAAAGAGAGGGCTGCATGTACTCCGCCTCTCGTTCGAGCTCGCGCCTCCTTATTTAACGGCCGTACATCGCGCGCGCTGGGCTAAAGAAACGTCGGAGCTCTCGAGAGGACCCGCCAAAGGAAGTTCGCGATTTTCCAAGGCGCCGTCGAAGGAACGTCGAGGACGTGGTCGAATTTCGCTCCGTTTTGTTCGACGCGGACCATGAGTCGATCGCTGGTCCTTCCCGAGAACGTCGCGAGAAAGTCCGAGGGCGTCTCTCGAGTCGTCGTTAAACGCGCCTTAGTCCGCCGTAGGAAAAGTTTTCTCCGTCCGCGGAGCGGCGGCCCGTTCCCCGACGGTCCCGTCTCGCTTCTTAATTATCTACAACCGAAGGGAGTACCAGGGAGGGAGCGATAGAGTGGAACAAGGAGGACGGAGCGAAAGGGGATCGACAGGGAGAGGCGGAGGAGGAACTCCTTCCGGGGTAAAGGAGCCCGCCCGCTCTTAGTCGTTTAGCCGGCGAAATGGCGCCACGAGAGCGGTACCTCATAAATCACTATTAAATCTTGAAAGGGTCCGCTCTACAGCTTGTCGAGTAATCTATCAGGACGGTCTACCTAATATAACGGCCGAACGGGCCGTTGGCGCGTTCGCGGGCTTCCGATCGATCCGCGATTCGCGGTTCGCGCATCTTCTGCTGCTGACAAGCGTCGATTTAACGCGAGCGCCGGGGCGACGTCGGATCTCGCGAGTGGAGTCTTTTTTGCGAATTATCGATGTTTCGATAAAGTGGCGACCGTTCCCCGCTCGCTCCCCTTCCCGGTCGGCTTTAATCGCAAAAGGAGCTGGAACGACGCGCTCGGGGCTAACCGGCGAAGTTCGGGCGCAGCCAACTCCTGCGGCTGACCGGTATCGACTCGAACTACTGGAGACCTCGCGGCCTCCGTAGGAGCAAAGCGGACCATCGATCGGCCGCACGGGAAAGAACTTCGGATTTCGATCGATGGATTTTTTCACGACTGCGCCAGATAATCCGAATCTAGCCCGGATCCGGCGCAGCCGTCTAAGGTAAATGGGCCATCGGGAGAGCCATTGTATTAGCACGGACTGCTCTCATTAGAATTATGCCATGGAAGTGGAGACGGCGGATTCGCATGATAAATCTTGGTACAATATCGGATACGAATCGGTTTAGGTTTATTGGATTATTCGGGTTTGCCGGGGATTCCGATACGGTCGAGTGGGAATTGCGAAATTGCCCCTTCTGCCGCTCCCTCCTCGCCGTCTCTCTTTTGCGCGGTAAGGAGCTCGGTTCTTAGAGCGGGACGATAACTCTCCCTCGAAGTGGGTCATATTCATCTGGATTAGCGTCGTCTTTTTGCGAAGTGTCAGGTTGGAGATAGCTCGCGATCGAGTCTCGCTCGTGTATCGAATAAACGTATCTTGACAAACGACGAGTCTCGCGAGTCGTTGTACTTTCGCGGTCGCGATCGGTCACGGATGTCACTTTGGCGTTGTAATTGCAATTCGGTAATTTTTTTACCCCGCCAAGTTGGAATCAATCATAGAGAGTTTATACACGGGAAATAGTGGGACGAGCGCCGGTAAACGAGGCTAGAGCCGCGATGCGATTTATAGGCGATGCATTAACTCTTGCGATCGCGGGCGTTCTCCCGGCGGTCTTTGTGCATCGTGGCCCGACGAAGCCGGCAGCTCGCGCAGTCTGGGACACGTCTATTATCCGAGATCCAAAAATCCCATCCCGGATCGTGGAATATTTAATACGAGCGTCTGGGCAGGGGGGGTCGTAAATTTTACGAGCCTTCGGCGGGCCGCTCGAACGTTATCGATTATCCTTACGTGTATCGGGCCCGTCGTTATTTCTCAATGTAGCCGGAATATGGTATCCGAAAACGCCGGCGTCGCGGAGTGAAATAAAGTTTCACCTACTTTTTCTTCCCCCTTTCCGGGGTATTCCTCGTTTGCGTATTCCTCGACAGGCCGGAAATCTCGGCCGATTTGGAAAGCGACCGAACCTGCCGGATAAATATCTCGTACTCGTATAATTGGCGATGTCGGGCCGGGCACCGCGCAATTTCGGGACACGCGTGTGGGTCCTCGCGCCCGCCAAATAGCCGGCCAATCGAAATTAATGGATGTCGGGACCCGATAGCCGAAATGGCGAAATTAATATTTTTAAATCGTTAATGAAATCCGTACCAGATGCGACCGGTATCAATAACCGGGGCGCGGGGATGAAAATCAAGCCTCGCGCGACATTTCCCGGGTGCCTCTCCCTCGGCGCCGCCGTTATCGTTATTATCATCGTTATTATTGTTATTATTCTTATTGCCGTTACCGTTACAGTCATTGCCCACGTTGGCGTTCGTTGTTACCACCGCGTCGGTCGTATTAGCGTCGCGGACTAAATTATTAATTTAAATAAGATTCGACTCTTCTGGAATTTCTTGACGAGGAGGGTCGATCGAGTCGTCGAACGTTTCCGCAGGGACGGGCGAGTAATCTTGGATCGTTTCGGCGTTGCCTCCAAACAACGCACTCGACGGCCAGGGTACAATCTGCACCGAGTGCCGTACTTTCGTGCTAATATTATACTCCGCAATCGTCGAATCACCGCGATGGCACGATGTCGGCTATAGCGATACACGGTACGCACAAATGATCGATCATTTCCGCCGGGGCGAATCAATGACGCGGCTGTTTGCATCAGAAACCACCGGTCGACTGCATGCACCGTGGTTCGACGTGGCACTCACAATTAAATGGCATTACGCATTAAACGATTAATCACCATTATCGCTTAAGTAAGATATCGGAGTTTATGCGTCGGACTGGCAACAAGTATTTGCGTTAAATTAGCGTTTCACGAAATCGAGCGATCACGGACGACAAATACGAAATTCATTTTTCGTTTCAGATCGAAGATGACCTGGCGACTGCTGATGGCGTTCCTGTTGTCGCTGTCCAGCGTTTTCGGCGCGCCTCGAAAGGGTGAGTTTTTCATCAAAAATCGAAATCGGCTTCTCGGTCACCGGTCGATTCGTCCAAAAATTCCCCAGGGAACCCCTCGGCCCGGCCCGGTGTCCTAATTAAAACGAGATTCGCCTTTAATGAACCCGGCACTTTCGCGGCGAGCACGCTTAATTTCGCCGTTACTTCTTCCTCCTTTCCTTCGTGTCGCCGTAATCCACGCCTAACGAAGTGCGGATGGAGCAATTAAACATCCCCGTTGGTAAGATAAATCCCTAACCGTTCGCCCTCGACGTTTACTCGACCCGACGTCCCGGACCCGCTCGCGAATCTCGCAGTTGTAGCTGCAACGTTGAGAGGAGACTCGTAGATCTCGACATCTCCCGACGCTTAAGTTCGCGTAAAATTCGCGGGACTCGACCACGGCCCGATTTCCGACATTTCGAGAATTTCCCAAACGCTCGGCGAGTTTGCCAGTCCGCGCAAAAAGCGCATCGGATCGCGTTACCGCGGGCGTAAATAAAGAAGGAAAAAAAAAACCAGGGGTGTTCAGCGTTCGGTGTCGTTGCACGGGGACGCGCGCGGACGTTAAAATGGTAAATCTAAATGCATCGCGACGCGTCGTTACGGCGCCCAGCGTTATGACAACGACTCGCTGTTATTTCGGGATATTAACGCGAACATTAAGCTCGCGTAAACCGAGTCGACGAGGACCACAGTGAGGCAGGGGATGGTCGAATCTCGACGTAGCTTGACAAAAATTTGCATTCGTTAAGGTGAAGGGAAACCATCTCGACTGAGACACTTTTCTAAAGGGTATTGGATCGAACCGTTCGAAACTTTGACGCGGGACTCGCGAGCATCTAAAAATAATTGCGACACTTTGAAAATTTGGATTCTTGAAAAAAAAAAAAAAAACTCGTTCGATTTTAAACTCACCTTCGGACGTCGTCGGCCCGAGGGCGTCGACGTCGAGAAGGGACCGGCGATGGGGTAGGGCCGTCTCGAGGCACGATCCCCCTCTTCTCTTCTCGCGCTCGGTCGAGGGCAAAACCAAGACGAGACCGAACCCCGAATCCTGGCACACGGGGGCCAGGGTCGCCAGGGAGCAGCCAGGACCGCCTAGGGACCTGGAGAGAGCTCGCATAACTTTCGGGCCCGGGGTAAAACGAGCCTTATCTTGCTCGGGGGAGGTGCACGTTCCAGACGGTGATAAGGCCCGCCGGGGAGAGGCCAATCCGAATTTGCCCCGCGCCACTGCGAGATCGTCTCGTGCTTTATGGTCGGCATCGGATTAAAGCGCGCGACGTTAGATCGAATCTCGATGGCCTCCCGCACGGAAAGTTGGCGATCTGATATCTCGGATGGATGATCGGAGCGATCGCGATAGACGACGCATCGCGCCAAGGGGGCGTCCCGAGGAACCGACGCCTCGGGCTCGGACAGGCAGAGTTCCTTCCTGCCCCTTCTATCCCCGGACGACTCGCCGGATATACCGAGCACGCCGTCCGGAATCCCTCGAGTCTTGTATTTTTAATGCATCCCCTCCCCCGGCGTCGCGGCGCTCCATCCCGAGAACGACCTGGCGCGATCGTTTAATGGCGCCTCGCGAAGGACTGGCGACAAGTTCCGGGGCGTTCGTTAAACGGTGTCGAGTCGACGATCGAGGGGTACGAATTTAATTCGGCTTATCAACCGGAGAAGGCGCGCTCGTCGCGCGGGTAAACGCACTCTTTTGCGGAATTCGAGGGGAGAACCGTCGCTCTGGTGGAGAGCCCTAACGAAACCCGAAATACATCTCGTAATTCTAATTACTCCCCATTCACGCGGTTATTGCTCCTCTGACAAGCGCTTTAGCATTACGCGCCTGCCTATGCAGCTCGCCGCATTATTCCGGCACGGGTAAGCCGCTCGGAGATCGCATTAGCCGTAAAAAGCGCATTGCGGACGAGGCGCGCTGGATGCGCGGGTTCGGGATCTCTCGGGAATCGCGGCGGAATGATTTATAATCCGGACAGATCAGTGGGAGCAGAAATCGGGCGGCCGACCGCGAATTTTCGGCGGAAGCTCTCCCTTCTCCTTCCGCCACTCTGCGCACCGAATACCGTCGCGAAAGATTGGCTCCCAACGTCGACTGCCGTCTCCTGTCTCCGGCGAGTGGCAAAGGCGGCACTCGAGGCGTACCGAGCAAGAATTTGCCGAATGCCGAGCAGATGCCATCCGGCTCAACCGCTGGAGGTTGAAGTCGTCGTCCCCGCTTTGGGGGCGAACGTCGTTCGGAAGGAAAATCGGCGGAAAATTTGCGCTTTTCCCTCCTCGACGTGACCAGGCGCGGGAGAAGAGTTAAAGAAGCTTTAAAGGACGGCTCTCCGCGTCGGTCAATTAATCGTCGGCAAATAATTAGCCGAAGTGCAGATTTCGGCGTAATCGCGGTCGACACCGGAACGCGAGCTCGAGTCGGCGGGAGACTCGCCCATGGCTGGTCGGTGCTTTGTATTTGCCCATTAATAGTGAACTACCATCCGAGCCTCCGGTTGCCCGGCAGCCGCTGAGAAATTAACGGAAGCGCTAATTGCGTTAGGTAACCGGGTTACCGAGAGGGGCGCGACTCGCCGAGACCCGGCCCGGGTGCCCCGCTTGCCCCGCTTGCCCCGCTTGCCCCGTTTCCGCGATTTTTCCTCCGCGATCTCGCGTCGCGGATGGAGAGGGAATAACTTCGATTAAACCGTCCCTTTCGTTTAATCGACCTTGACCGGCAGCTGGAACTAATTGGACACGGCAAACATTGACGCAGGTGCGACGGGGGCGGCAACCGCGCCGGGAAATAATTTGCGGAAAGGAAGGGCTGACTTTGCGTTTTCGCGTTTCCGATCCCGCGAGACTCGGGGTGCGGGACGGCGCCGTTTGTACACGGGAAAAGTAGGGTAATTGGAGGCGGTTTAGCCTACTCTTTGATTTCTCGCGGTTTTATTTCAGAGCCGGTCTACTCGGACGCCCTCGTCCTCCCCGCGATCCGCGCCCCCCCTTTGCCGACGAGGTCGGCGATCGATTATTCGGCAATCCGGCTGGCAGGAAGTCACGGAAATCGGGCTCCCCCGCCCAGGGCGGTGGGTAAAAGATTCCCTTTGTCCCGGCCCGACGTCGGGGAGATTCGATCGTCCATTGCCCGGTAATCCGAAAGGTAACCTTGGACGGTTTGGGAAATTATGAATGAGCGCGAGCCCCCCTCCGCCTCGAATCCGACCCCGGCGCTCCGCATCCGCGCCCCGTTTAAGTGCGTCGCGATTACGACGCGGAGGACGGCGGTGGCGGGATCGCTTAATCAAAGGGAAGGAATAACTTTAATTAAATCGCTCGTTTAATTAACCCTGACCCTGACTTTGGGCCAATTACGCGGCGTAAACATTGACGCGAACGCGAAGGAGCCTCGAGGCGCGTTTCTCCCGCGACGACGCGCGTCGCGGTGGTCTTTGGAATACGTTTTTTCCACCGCGTCGTCTTGCAAGGTAATCTTGATAAACGGCGGCACGCGCCCCGCGAGTAAATACCTATGGCGATTTTTTCGGTTTTCCCGAAAGACCTCGCGGGCCGAAAGGATTAAACGATGACCATATTTCAGTATTTGTTTCCCTCTCATTTTGCGAGGGTAATTCTCGACTCGTTCGTCTCTTTTATTACGCCAGTTTCCTCTTGATAAACGGTATACGTCTCGTGCGTCCGCGGAGGATATATTAGGGCTATTTAATAAACGCGGCACCGCGTCTAGTCGCGTAGGCTGTGAAAACGGGACGGAACGATCGCGCGTCCGCGACGGAATTTCTTTCGAGATGAAATTGGCGCCGCTCGGTTTTCGCTCATCCGGGTCCTCGTTCTCCTCGTTTCCGTCGTTTCTTTCGTTCCTCGTTCCTCTTCGCGGAAGCATTCCCGTGCATTAAAGTTAACGAAGCGGGGACACGACGCGGGGCCTCTCGATAATCGAGCGGCTCGTTTTCGGGGGCCGTGCATCGAGCCGTCGCGGAGTAGGTCAAGCCGTGTACCAGCCGGCACTCGGCATAAATATAAATATGTATTACGCTGCCGCCGCAGCTGCAGCTGCATTAGATATATTCCCGGCCGGTCGGCACCATGGCGGCGCTCCCGCTAGGTTTTGCCGCACCCGCTGCCAAACCGGAGCGCGATTTTATGCCCGACTGCTGGCATCCTCGTCGCGTTTCTTAACGCCTTCGCGACCGCGCGGCCTTCACCTTAGGACTACCCTTCCCCAAAACCCCGTGGCAAATTTCTTCGAGGCAATTCTACCGCAATTTATCGTGGCGTCGGAATAACCAATGACGGAGAACGTAAATTTACGTGGGCATTTTCATCGGCACGGTCTCAGGGGTCGAAAACGACTTCCAGCGGCTGGTCTCGATCGTCCGTCGCTTTATCGTCTCCTCGTCGGCATTGTTTCCTTGCTTTACGAGCGCGTCTGCCTCTCGGAAACGCCAATATTAATTCGGCCCGGTTGCCATCGGCGGACCCGGGCCAAGTTTCCCTCGAGCCGAGCGTTTTGTGGCGGGCGCGCAATCAGGATTGCGGCAAACATCGCGAAGTCACCCCGGGAAGTCTCCGACTCCGGGGAGACTTCGCTGCGAACGGCATTCAAAGTCCGGCGCGCAAACGAAGTCGCGGCGGAGTCGTTTATTAAATGCAGGAGCGAGGGGCCGCGAATGGACGGGGTGCCGCTCGTGGAAGACGACCGATCCATTATGCGATTGCTCGTTATTGTTTCCGCGGGCTGAGATCTCGGAACCCGAGAGATGGGTCGATAATAAAATCAAAGTGCCGACGCCGGGAAGTCGGCCCGGTCCGGGCCAGCCTTCGCGGGGCTCGAAAGGAAGAACGGGACGAGCGAGACGTGCGAAGGGCGCGGAAACAAGGCGGCAAGAAATCGGGGCCGATGGAGGGCTTATAGATTTGGAGTACGCCGAGTGAGTCGATAATAAAATCGGAGTGCCGATAAAAATTCAAAGTGCGCCGCT